CGCCGCCGCCGCCACCAATCGCGAGAACGCCATCAGGAAAGCGGGGGCGAAATCCACCGCCGCCGCCGCTGCCGCCCCCGCCCCCGCCCCCGCCCCCGCTTCCGCGGGCGGCGCGTCTTCGTCCCGGGCCGCCGGCCGTGTGCGACGGGGGAGCGGTGGTGATGCCACCGAGGCCCGGGTGGAAGCGCCTTCCGCTACAGTTTTGGCCGCGAGCGACACGACGGCCCGCTCTACTGCATCCGCCACCCCGGCCGCCCCGGCACCGGCACCGGCGGCGAAGCCGAAGCCGAAGGCCAAGATGTCACGCGTCCCGAGCATCATTGGCCCTGTCGCCGCGGGTCTCGGCATTAAGATAGGCCGTAGCAGTGGCGGTCCCCCTCCGGGTGTTCCGGCCACTCCTGCTCCCCCTGCTGCTGCTGCTGCTCGTGCTGCGGCTCCTGCGGCTGCTCCTGCTGCGGCTCCTGCGGCTGCTCCTGCTGCTACTTCTACTGCTGCTCGTGCTACTGCTGCGGCGCCAGCTACTGCGGCGGCGCCAGCTACTGCTTCGGCGCCCGCTGCTGCTGCGGCGCCTGCTACTACTGCAGCGCCCGCTACTGGTGCGGCACCTGCTACTGCGGCTTCTCCTGCTTCTGCTGCGGCTACCGCTACTAAGGCTACTGCTGCTTCTGCTGCTTCTGCTGCGGCTACCGCTACTAAGGCTACTCCTGCTTCTGCTGCGGCTACCGCTGCTAAGGCTACTCCTGCTTCTGCTGCGGCGACCGCTACTAAGGCTACTCCTGCTTCTGCTGCGGCTACCGCTACTAAGGCTACTCCTGCTTCTGCGGCTACCGCTACTAAGGCTACTCCTGCTGCTGCTGCTGCTGCTGCTGCTGCTCCGGCTCCTGCTACTGCTGGTACTGCAGCCACTGCTGCTGCCACTGCCGCTACTGCGGCAGCTGCTGCTGTTGTTAAAGCTAGCAGCTCACAGGCCGGTAGCTCCACCACCAAAGCCAGCGGCCCACAGGCCAGTAGCTCCGCCACCACAGCTGCTGCGGGCCCACAGGCCAGTAGCTCCACCACCACCGCTGCTGCGTCGGCGGCCGGTGCTGCTGCCGACAAGACCGCGGCGAAGTACGCCGCAGAACGGAAGGCGTCCGCGGAAGCGGCAAAGAGGGTGGACGGCTCCACCGGGATCATGAAGAACCCCACCCTCGAAGAGATCATGATGCGCAGCAGCGAGGCCGGCGGCGCCGGCAAAAGCAACGGCGGTGGCAGCACCAACTTCGACATGGCTGTCCCTGCGGTGGTGCGCACTGTCGCGGGGACCAGCGCTCTCGCCGCGAAGGCTAAGAACGACGGCACCCAGGACTCTGCCGCCCTCACCACCGCCGAGGTCTCTCGGCGGACCGACTCTGGCGCCACCGCCGGAAGCAGCGGCGGCAGCGTCGTCGCCGACACCCCGAGCAGCGCCGCCAGCACCCGCGCCACGGTCGGAGACCCCACCCCCGTCATCCCGGCGGTCGAGCCACCGTCCGAGAGCCCCGCCGGCGGCTGCGAGTACATCACGCCTGCCTACTTCGCCGCCTTCAGCGCCGCCACCACCCCGGCGCCGGCCGGCGGCCCCGGCTCCGGCGCCAACCCGGCCACCACCTCGTCCGCCGCCGCCTCGTCGGCTGGCGCGGCTGCTGCCCTCACGCCGAGGACGGCAGCGGCGTCTGCGGCAACCGCGGCCGCCGAAGCCAGCAACGACGCGGTGGCAGCGGCGGCGGCGGAGTC